CCGCCCGCCCGAGGGCCCGGCCCGGCCTGGCCCCCGCCTTCTCTTCGAGCTGCTTCTGCTACCGCCGCCGCCACCGCCGCGCCCTCAGGAGGGGGGCCTCGGTTCAGCCCAGCTGCTCCCGCTCTGTTCCGCGCCCCTCGACTGAGCCAGGCTGAACCTGTCGAACACGGAACGCAGGCGACTTCTGATGCTCCAGACCCCAAGGCCGAAGCAGCCGAGCGCCGAGGAGGAGGCGGCGAGGCGTCGGGACCCACGTGATCAGCGGCAGTTGCGAGCGGCCGAATGCGTGGTGCGCTTGGGGCTGGGCGCCATAATAACCGGTTATTAACCGAGGCACCAGAGTCTCTTTTTTTGCAGTAATAAATGTTCTTACAAAATGTGAATACGTATCCCGCCTCAGCAGAGAAAAATCACCATGCAATACGTGATTTCCGTCTCTTGTACACGTTTAAAGGGAAGGTGCAAATCCGCCTGAACTCATTAAGGCTTGCCGCCACATTAAGGGGGCTTGGGAAAGCCCTCACAGGCATTTCGCAGGAAAAGAGGACACCTCCCTCTTTGTAACAGTTGGGTGGCCTCGTGTCCAAGTTGGGGCCAGGTAACGGGCCCAGACGCCTATACTTGGCTTTGAGAGGATGGCTTTGGGTGGTATTTAGGTGACAAACGAAATCCCAGAAACTAGGGTTCGGACCACTGTAAGCTCTCCTGCCGGAGATGAAACTGTTAAGCCTCTCAAACTTGGAAATCAAATAAACTCAGCACTTGAGATTTCCTTCGAATTAGGCATGCACAAGTCAAGCAATTATTTAGAATGGTTGTCCTCACTAAAAACTCGAATGTCGTTCGCATAATACATCCTAAATAAAAGCATTTCCACTGAGATTTCGTATGCCACCTTGACAGAACCCCCATCTATGAACCTAACTCTCTCTCTTGCACATTTTTGGACCGAAACAGGAAGCTGAGCGCGCCACTTACGTTTTCTACAAACGATCATCCTTTTCGTTTCGACCTGCACGACGGTTAGATCCTGTAGGCGACTCAAGTCACCGAAGCTACAACTAAAGTGCAACATTTCTACTTTTGGGAATGACCAGAAAAGAGACAAGAGGTCCTCTGGTCACAGCCGAAAGGTATACTCCGACAGTTAACCGCTGACTGAGCCAAGATTCCAATCCGAACGAATCCTTAACGATTTTTCCATAATTCTTTTCACTTTAAAGTGTCTTAGGAAGTATTTTTATTGGCTTGCTTTCCAAGTACTGTAGCTCAAACCAACGATTTTGCAAATTTACTAGGCCTTTTCTCGTGAAGGGAGTAACTGATAAGCCCAGCCCTGTCCATTGTGTATTGTAATGTAAATACTATCTTGTTTAGCACCTTTGTTAGGGGCAAATTGGGCAATTCATGCGTCACATTCCCTTCAATCATTCAAAATACTTTTTGATAGGATTTGAGGAGCAAACCTTCAGTTTAAGTACCATCACATGCATCCCCTGACGTCTTTTGTTATCATTTTTACTCTGGTATTGACATTCAGATTGGTGAGCTAAGTGTTGGTGCCTTTACTTTTATATTTGCCTGCCCAACTGCTCTTTACAAAACCAACATTTAAATATTGACTAAAACATTACTAAATCTAAATTAATAAATCTTCAATGGTTTGTACAAGTATAAAAAAACATGGCCGTTAAAAGCATCCATGTTTCTCATTAAAATCAGGGAACAAAATACAGTATATAGATCTACAGTGACTCAAAGCCTTTTATTTTGTGTACTCCACTTATAATTATACTAAAATCATGTTACTGTTGTTCTAATCAATGGTGTAGTGATAACTTTGGAAATGCGTGTGATCATAACAACCTCCACCATAGAGTTAAAGCTGCAGGGAGTTATTTCAGACCATGACAATAAATTTTGTAAAATTTGTTATTGTTAGATGCCTTCAGGTTGTTTTGAACATATGAGATACCTATGAATAAGTAACTTCCAAAAAGTCCTATCATAAGTAGGCCTCCTCAGCTGTACTTTCTTTACTGAGTCAGTCCTTTTATTTAGCTTGCTTTTTATATATCCTACAGTTTCCCCCAACTTTATTTTTTCCCCAATGACTGTTATCTTCTTACAGTATGTTCAAAATACAGTAGCCACTGTTTAAATATTTTTGTGTCTCTAGATTTCATTTCAGGCTTCATTTGCTCTAGAACCCACTTCTTTGTTGTTTTTAGGGGGTTTTTTTTGTGCTCCCTGAGGTCTGCAAAGCTGTCTTCAACACCACACTTAAAATGAATCATTTTCCCCCGGCAGCTTTCTTCACATCTGTACAGAGTACAGTAGTCAGGAATGCCATTGCCCTTCCAAATATCAATCTTCAGATAGATTTCTTGGCTGCAGTCTTTGACTGATGTTTGAACCAAGATATAAAAGATACAATTGCTATTTCTTCATTGTCAACATTAAAATTACGTACATAATTCTTCTGTAGACACAATGCATGTTTTTTTTATATTCAACTGTAGCCCTACTTCTGCACTTTCTTTCATCTTCATTAGCCGTTATTTCAAGCCAGTTTTTCTTTCTGGCAGTATCTGTAAAATTAGTGGCTCCTAATTGTTCACTCAAGACCAAACCACCTCGAAACAAAGGAATTGCCACAATCTCCTGTTCCAGGGGAAATCTATTCCTTTCTTAGGTGCTGTTAGAATATTGTAGTTAAATTCAGATGCACCAAGCAAGGCTTTTATGAGTGTGTTGTGTTAAAGTTTTATAATTCTGTACTCAAGAAGTCCTGGCTTGGCTCTACTATGCCACTGGTTTTAACTATAGCCTAAAACCAATGCTAACCAGTCTTAATAGCCATCATATTTGAAAGCATGAAATTCAACACCTACAAAGACCCCAAATTGCAATCTTAGCATTTTTCACGGTTGTTTTCTTTCTTAGAGATAAAATATCATTTATAAAACATCTATTATATATGAACTATTTCTAATTTAACTTTTTTTTAAAAAAAGGCAAATCACAAATACTTTAAACAAAGTCTTGTAAGATTGTTGAATACCAGATAGCAGTTGAGCCTAATAATGTAAGTAATTAAAAAAACTTATCCCATCATCTGGAGAAGATCTTCTTGACTCTTAGATTTTTCTACTTTCTCAGACACTTTGGCCTGAAACATTTTATTGCTATACCCTGACTTACAAAGGCAGGATGAACTGAGGTAGCCAAATCAGTTTGAGAAGAAAATAAAGGCACCTAACAATAAGGTAGTGCCTTCCACATACTTCAGAACATATCTAGTCCCTACAAATATACAGAAGTACAGTAATACATTTGTAAATTAAAAGAAAAATAACTTTGAAATTGTAGGAAAACAGCCTGACTATAACCAACAATGTCACAGAACACTGAAAATAGTGCCATTGGCAAAAGAAAATACAGTAAAATGGAAGGAGGCTGAAAGATAGAAATGGAATTGACCTGCTCAAATCTATTATTATAATAGCTATGGTTATCATCATGAAAAGATCAAGGAATGTACAGTTTTAATTTAAAACAATCTCTTTATCAGAATACTGCAGTTCAGAAGGAGGAAGAAATCTCCACAGCCATAAAATATTCAGCTTCTGAATCTAAAAGCCTTTAGAAAGCACAGCACAACTGAGTGGGTGAAGCAAATCTCCCTTTCTGTGCCTTCTTTGGTTGTTTGAGGCTAGAGTTCTGAATAGAAATGTAACGAGGGCTACAGATACAGTACATTGTTCATCTTTGTACTATTTTGTATGGATGCCTGCTGATCCTTGCATCAAGACATCCATCTCCCTATAACTGCAGGTTAGGCATCCTTCAGTCTCGAGAGACTATGGTAACGTGCTCTGAATAGAGGTCTTGGAACAGCATCTAGTGTGGCTGCGAAGGCCAATTCGAGAGTGACAATCCCTTCCGCACTGGAGACAAATACAATCTGTCCCCTGTCCAGCTCTCCGGTTTTTGCTGCTTTCGGGACTGCCTCTTTGCCTCAGCCTGCTGGGCAGGGGTCTCTTCAAATTGGGAGAGGCCATGCTGCACTTCCTGCCCCCTGGCTGAGTGCTCAGATGTCAACGTTTCCCATCTGTTGGGGTCTATTCCTAAGGCCTTCAGATTCTGCTTGCAGATATCCTTGTATCGCAGCTGTGGTCTTCCTCTGGGGCAGTTTCCCTGCACTAATTCTCCATACAGGAGATCTTTTGGAATCTGACCATCAACCATTGTCACGACATGCCCGAGCCAACACGGACGTTGCTGTTTCAGTAGTGTATACATGCTAAAAATTTCCCCTTGTTCTAAGACTACTCTATTTAGAACTTTGTCCTGCCAGGTGATACCAAAAATCTGCGTGCAGGTACGCGCACATTCTTGGGAGAATGCGCAAAGTGGTGGGGCAGCACCCGTCAGCGCTGGCGTGAGCGCTCCCCCACCCCCTTGCACATGCACAGGGGCTCTTGCGCGCGCGCCCAGCTTTAAGATTATTTTTTCATTTGATACGGGGGTAGGGGTGCAGTTGTCTTTTTTCTATTTTTATACTTCTTTTCTACAGTATTGGAAAGAAAGCTTTTACATATTCCGTGAGATGGGCAAACCAGCACCACATTGCCTCAATGCTTTGAATGGGTGGTTCTCCTTTTAGTAGCTAAAAAGTAACTATGTATTACATTTAAGAAACAGGAAAATAAGTAGTTACTTTTAAAAATTATGGCCACAATCCTATAGGGGCTTGCACAATTTGTCACAACAAAATTATGAGGTGCTTGGTCAAATCTTGTTTGTGCATTTGGGTGTGTGACCAGTCATGTGCTCAAGGTGCATCAGCACTTCATAATTTAGCTTTAATTAGCTATGACAAGTTATGCAAATCTTATGTAAGCACCAACAGGATTCTGGCTTATAATACCAACTAACTACTTTTGGGAGTATTGGAACAGTTACCAATCACTTTCCATATTCAAATAAACTGTTTACCAACTTCTGGTGTAGCTGTTATAGTTGTTAAAAGGCATCAGAAAAAGACAGTAAGTTCTGTTAATAGATCTCTTGACTAGGAGGAACATGAAGAAGATAAGAACATCTTGTCTTAACATGGGTGACTGACATCTGGATACTGCCTTTTTATTATGTACTCTAAGCAGTGTTGAGAAGATTGGAATTTTTTTAACAAAGCTTTTCTTGTGGAAAACCTGATGTGGCCCAGCCTCACTCAGACTCTGTCTCCAGTGGCCCCCAGGTAAATTGAATTTGAGACCCCTGCTCTAGACGTAGAATAACAGGTAGCTATGACACAGTGCTCTAATCTGTTGATCACATGTTTTTTTTCCAAAATAAAAAAGGAAGAAGAAACAGATTCATTTTGAGTCATAACACACTTTTCCTTGCTTGAGGTACATTGCTAGACTAGACAGGGCCAGTCTTGTTTGATCATTACTGTATTTCTCTCTTAGCCAATAGGATTTTTACAAGTCAAAGTCCTTGGGTATTGACCTACCAGCATCATCCTACAGTCATGGCCATAAAAGCTAACAAGAGAAGTATTCCAATTCTACATTTTGTTGAAGACATTGGCTCCTTTATGATACTTGCAAGGAGATATGAAATGGTTCAGGAGTTTCTCAGCAACTCCCACCCACCCAAAGCCCGTTCCAACTGGAGGTGTGGTTCTTGTGAAGGGTTTATCTTTCAGACACACTCCCCTGCATAGTGTTGATTAACCTTTGCCACTGGTTCTGCTGTCTAGGACTGATGAGAGTTTCAATCTGACAATGACTGCAAGCCCCCTTCCTCATTTACATTTTGCCTCCCTTCTGTATCTACCAACACTGTCTAATATCTACTACAATATCAATGCTAGAGCTAGTCCTGCAGAGTAATACAGCCATTGGTTGTTACCAAAGCCACAGGTGCTGTTTCTGTGTTGTTTTTGAATAATTACTGAATGTTACTTTTAAATTGATTAGTCACTGACATGACCTAATCATGTGCTATTAGGCAAATCTAGGGATGCCTGGTGAGAATGCTGGCCCCAAAGATAATGAAAGTTATACCATTATAGCATCCAGCCTGGTAAGTACTTGAGTGGGAGACCACCAGGTAAAACCAAAGCATGCTGCCCCATGGGGCCTAAAGCACTCTCTAGGTGGCTAACAATTTAATTCTACAGGCTACCCTTCCCAGCAATCTGGGTACTCATTTTACCAACCTTGGAAGGATGAAGGCTAATTGAACCTCGAGCCGGCTGCCAAAATCTGCTGGGATTGAACACTGACCATGAACAGAGTTTTGACTGTTTAACCACTGTGCTACAAAGCTCGCAAAAAAACACAACCCAGCATCTCTGAGAAGTGGTAGTGAAGAATCCTGACTGAAACCTTGGAGAACTGCTGCCATTTGCACTTGATAGAGCTGAACTCGATTGATCAGTTATTTGGTCCAGCATAAAGCAGATTCCTATGTTCCTAACTTAACTAATCTGCCACTATAA